GCTCTAACTCTACTGGGGAATAGGGCAGCCAAGTACGCCTCGTTCAGCTTCCATCCATTAGTAAACACTGTTTTCACATCGCGGTTTCGCTAAAAATAAATTAGAGAATTGGTTAGTAACCTCTAAGTAGAGAGGTAAGTTTGTAACAATTTAAATATGTCACTGTTATTGTGATTATAATCAATGTCATATGTTACCTTACAAAGATCTTTCTGTAGCTCCTCAGAACAAGTGAAAGTTGAAGTGGTAGAATCCCATCCTACTCCTGTATGACTTTGTAACATTTTGTACGCGGCGTATACCTTACCCAATCGTCGGCGTTTCTCCTTAAGACGCTCACCATCGGGAACATAGCCATAAAAAAAGCCGGCCATTTTTTAGGCCCAGTGATTATAATGACGAGTTTCTGGTAGGCGACCATGGTTAGTGTCGTGGTATTCGTAAAATTTCTCTAGCAAAAAAGCCTCTGCAGCAGGGCTCCAAAAAAGTGGCCTCTCATCTCTAGTTTTTCTTGGCATCTACGCACGCAGATCACAACCAGGAGCAGGACAACACATGCAAAAACGGAAGACACCACATTCACAAAATGACAACAAAACTAAAAAACAACTACAACAACAACAAACCATACTAAGGGGGACCAAACCTGCCTCCCAGGGGGCTTTTAACTCAAAAGGGGACCAAACTTACCTGGATTTTTGGTATCCATCAATCTCCCTGGAATTTTGGCCACAGACATTTTAACTCTGTTTTTTTTTTTTTTGCTTGCAGATACGGATCACCTCTATTGATAGGGGTATTTTGCACTGCTCATTAGTATATATACACATTGGATTCTTGGTAAGACATATTGGATTAGTATATATACATACATACATACATATATATATATAAAATATGTCCAGATGCAACGCAACTAAACATTAGGACCTGAGTTCTTTCTTTTTATTAGGTCAATTCATTTTTTTTTTTTAAGTTTCAAGTCCTTAGGACCTGAGTTCTTAAACAGAACATCATTCCTATTCATTATTAAAAAAAGGGCCCACCGAAGTTAAAAAAATAAGAAGAAAAGAAATTACCATCTCTAACCGATTCTTGGTAAGATATATAGGATTATATACATATATATATATATAT